AATATCTGTATCTCCAAGATGAGATTTGAATTGTCTTTCATCTAAATCAGCCATGTTTGTTTTCTTTTAAACAAACTGGTCTGCCTCATTTTACAGCTCACCTACTGCCACGTAGATTTAATGTGTTGAATGTACTATTATCTTGAGGTTAGTCACCTATTCCAATACCTACCAAAGAATGCCACCACTGTTGGGTGGTTCCTCAAAATACACAAAGTTCTGACTGAGAGAAAAGAGTTTTAAACAGTTATGAAGTTTATGAATCCAACTCTCAAAATTTATCCTTTGGGATCTTTCTGCATGATGAAGCCAGGCAAGAGAACATCTTTAAAGTAAGAGTGTAGTAATCTTTGCAGATACGAGAGATATTTGTATTGTACTGTGCGCGTTGCTTATGCAATGGAATGTACTATATCTCGAGTATATATTATAGGTCTACTGGAATGTTTTACCAATTTAAGGTGCTATATAATTAACAGTTGTTTTTACTGTTAACTATTTTCATTTTTAAAGGGGTACTGTCTGGTCAAGTTTTTAGATCCTGCTGCAAAAGTAGGAAGTGCACTTGATCGCTTGTCAACAAGTGCCTGACTTGGAATTGCTACTGCCACATCCTGCTCACTGAAGCATTTAAATTAATTTGTGCGTCCTCCTCAACATAATGATTATTAAATCAGAGTAACGACTCACATTTCTTAACTGCTTATGTAGGTGATTACAGGTCACCATGTCATGATAGCCTGTTTGCAAACTCAATCTTACCAGCTGTTAATGTTTCTAATTCTATGAAAGCAATCAAAAAAAGCATGCAGCATAATTCAACATTAAAGGATTAGCTGCATATGAAGGTTTTTTTTATTTTGAACATTTGTGGCAATTTTTATCATATTGGCTTAAAAGCAGATCTGTTGATCTTAAAACTTTCTTCCTGATCTCTTTACAGCTTCATTATGTTTGCATTCCTATTGCACCAGGTGCTTTTTATGTTTGGAGGGGAAATAGCAGCTGGCAATCTGCATTGTAACTTTCTTCTCCCTAACTCCCTCAAGTGGGAAAAACAACTCCTGGTCACTTGGTAACTTGGCTTTCTGCAATGTTCTGCTGTCTGTTCCATAATGATACCACTGAGTAAACAATTGTCTTCAGTTCCCCAGTGCTATTTCAGCTGTTTACATGATTCCTAACTGGAAAAGGCAATTAATTGTCATTATTGTTTCTTGAAAGGACATATTTTAATTTAGCTCTGGGAAATAAGAAGAAGAGAGGAGTGGTTAACCAATTTGCTGAGTAACTAATCCAAAACAACATGTACTCATGTTCTAAATAGCAACAACATTGAATGTCAGGGTGAAATGCTTGGAATCCCTCTTGTTGGTGATGGTCACTGATTGGTTAATGTGTGGCATGAATGTTGTTTGCCACCTATGAATTCAAGCCTGAATATTATCCTTGCTGAATGAGGACATGAATTGCATAATTATCTGAGGAGTTGCAAATTAAAGTGAACACTGTGGAATCATCTCCAAATAATGATGGAGGAAGTATCATTGATAAAGCAACTGAAGATGGTTAAGCATGGAACCCTCAAGTATTCCTGCTGTGATCTGGGGGCTGAGATGAATGGGCTCCAACAGCTAACAATCAGAGCATTTGTTTTTGTATTAGTAATGATTTCTGCTAATGAGAGATTTCTACGAGTTCCATTGATTTCAATTTTACCACGGCTTCTAGATGTCACATTTTGTTTAATGCTGCTTTGATATGTCTCTCAGCTCAACTTTGGTCTCGTAACTAGGCTTTTCCCATCCCTTGAACCATCAGCTATTCAAAATACACTCTCAGTAAGTGTCAAGTTATTTTGCTTTTAAAAAGTGTAACAATCCTTCAGCAAGGGTCACTGGAGTCGAAATGTTAACTCTGCTTATCTCGCTACAGATGCAGCCAGACCTGCTGAGTTTCTTCAGCAGTTTGTTTTTGTTTCAGTAATGCTTCAATACTCCTTATCATTCAAAGCAATTCTTTTCCCATTTCAATTCACAATTAAAACTACTGAAAATAAAAAAGTACAGTTTCAGTGTCTTAGGGCTAGAAGGTTAAGGAATAACAAGAAGTATTTTGTACGCAGGTGCTCAGGCAGTAGTGGCCCAAGGCTAAATTGAGGACCAGGAGGAAAACTTCTTCACAGAAATGATGAAGCTTCCACCTTTTTGGATCTTCTTCAATCGCATCGTCATCTGCTACTGATCAGAACTTGTGTAGTCCACCAAATGATTACTGAACCACCTTAAAACAGGTCCCAGTGAACTTTGCTGCCATCATAATCAGAGCAGTATGGTCATTCCTTCATTTATAGGACATTATTGCTTAATTTCTAATAAGCAGAGTGGCAAAATTTGTTCGTCTGCACTTAGAAAAGCTGTCTTGAGTAGGATTCAAACCCCTTTGACTTAAAAACAAGAATGATGTTACTACAGCAAAAGCTCACTTTAGAAAATAATCTCTGGTTAAAACTCTTAAAATAGGAGTGATCAGTTGACACAGATTAACATTGAATGTGAACATAATGCAATATTCAAGATTTTCTGCTCTGATGCTATTACTGGATTCTTCTGTAAACTTGCCATTGAAATAGACGCAAATATTAGTGTTAACAATGTTACAACCCTGTGGGTATCTGTAAACACAACATTTTTGTAAGTGTTTTTTTTTTGTAACTTTTATCATAGAAATCAGACTTGCCAAAACAAGAACATAAATTAACAAGCAAATCAAAGTTGATACAAACTATAAAGTTATACAACAAATATAACCAAGATTACCTCTCAGAGTTAGTAGGCAGTAAATCCTGCCTGTATGGTCTCAGTTTTAATCACAGTTTTTCCACACAGAATTCCAGTCTCTCCCCTTCGAGGACTTGCAGCCAGCTCTGCACGGGCAACACCTTTCACGTAAACAGAATTCTGCCAATACAATCTTCCCCTATTTAGCACACTTCTTTTTAGGAGCCTTCTTAGCTCTCGGATCAGATTGATTGATTGCGCAGGCATGGATCAACAAGAAGTGCCTTTACTTCCACATGGAATGGATGATTCTGTTCAAAGAAAGAGCAGCAGCATACCCGAACGTGCTTTCCAGTCACTCAGAGCCCACTGACCTAACTCTGCTTGATGACCACCGCTTTTCTTCTGTTTCGTCCTCACTTATGGGGAGGTGATAGCCCAGTGGTATTACCACTGGATTGTTTATCCAGAGACCCAGGAGATGGCGGAATTTGAATTCAGTAAAAAAAAAAATAATCTGGAATTGAGAGTCTAATGATGACCATTGCTGATTGTTGGAAAAACCCGTCTGGTTCACTAATTTCCTTTAGGGAAGGAAACTGCCAGTCTTACCAAGTCTGGCCTACTTGTGACTCCAGATCCACAACAATGTGGTTGACTCTTAACTGCCCTCTGGGCAATTGGGGATGGGCAATAAATGCTGGCCCAGCTGGTGATGCCCTCATCCCATAAATGAATAAAAATAAATCTGCCTGCCACATTGCTTCTGCAATTTAACTGCCTCCTTGTTGGTAGTGCTTCCAAGTGTATTATAATTATTACCTTTACATGTGATACGAACTTTTAAGATCCTTTTCAGACATTTCTAACAAGTAAGTATAGATTTCTGAAATATTTTAAAGTAATGACATATTTCGGCCTCATATTCATTGACTCATACATTGACTCATACAATGCAGAATAGGCCCATGGAACCCTACACTAATCCAACTTTCTCGTAGTTAGCCCATGACCTTCAATGCCAATGACATTCAAGTGTTCACCAAATACTTTTTAAGAGGTTGAGGCTTTTTGCCTCTACTGCCCTCCCAGACAGTGCATTCCAGATTCCCATTGCCCTCTTGGTGGGGGGGTGAGGAGGGAAGAAATCCTCAAATCCTCCTGCCCTTCAACGTAAAATCATTCTCCTTCATTATTGACCCTTCAGCTCAGGGGAACAGCAGCTTCCTATCGCCTCTTAATCTTACACACCTAAATCAGGTAACCCCTCAAACTTCTCTGCCAATCCAAGTTTATCCAGCCTTCCTTAATAGATAAAATGCTCCATCCCAGGCAAAATCGTGATGAATTTTCTCTGTGTCCCTCCAGTGCAATCATACTATTCCAACCAGAACTGCACATAAGATTCCAGCTGTGGCCTGACCAATGTTCTGCACAGTCCAATATAACCTCCCTGTTCTTATGCCAGTCCTGAAGAAGGGTAATACCTGAAACATTGACTGCTCCTTTCCTCCAGACGCTGGCCTGCTGTGTTCTTCCAGCCTCCTGTTTACTGACCTTGGATTTTTTTGTCTCTCCTTGTTCTTATAATCTTTGTCACGACTGATAAAAGCAAGTGTCCATGCGTTCTTTGTTTCCTTATTAACTGTCCAGCTGCCTTCAGGCATCTGTGAACAAGCAATTCCTCTGAGCTTCCTAATGTCCTGCCATTCATTGAGTTTTCCCTCATATCTTACTTTTCCAATGTGCATCACCTCACACTTAGCAGGGTTAAATTCCATCTGCCACAATCTGTTGATACATACAGAAACAATAAGGGATCCAGCACTAATGCCCCTGGTGCACCTCTGGTCACTGACCACCAGTCACACACATAGCCGTTTGCAACCACACTCTTCCATCTACCATTCAGCCAATTTCGGATCTAACTAACCAAGTTAGCCTAGGTCCCAAAACAAATGGGCATTTCTTTGAGCCCAATTCTGAATTATTCTCTGTTTTATATTTTGTTAAAGAGATATTTCTTTTAAAGTTCAGCATTCATGACAGTAAATAAGAGTAGTAAACAATTCTGATCATTCCAAAGAGAAATCCTTTCAGATGTTGATCAATCTGCTGTGTATTTCAGATTTAGAATCTTACAGATTTTGTTAAATTTTCTATTATTTTTGTGTTTCTTTTCACATGCAATTAGTCTGATTCAGTCTTCTGTTCTAATAGGACTACAGAGTCAATATATTCCTGAGACAGAAATGGAATGATCCTCGACTTAAACTGCCAACTGATTTTAAAGGTTCAGATACGCTGACTGTGGATCCCAAAATGTTTAAATGCTTATGGAAACCTGATTTGTTTTTTGCAAATGAAAAGAATGCAAATTTTCATGATGTAACACAAGATAACATCCTTCTCTTTATATTCCGCAATGGTGATGTACTGCTGAGCATGAGGTATGAGAAAATCTACAACTACTACAGAAGAAGCCTTTGCCGAAAATTTTTAATATTGATAACTGATAAAACTGAATAATGTTTTCCATTTTCTTTCATATTTCAGGTTGTCAATAACTCTTTCATGCCCACTTGACTTGACACTGTTTCCCATGGATACACAACACTGCAAGATTCAACTGGAAAGCTGTATGTTTCTTGGACATTTGCTGTAAGATAGATGTATGGGTGTTTTGACTTGCAAACAGCTGTTGTTTACATCTCATTAGTTAACATAACATTTTTTATGTGATGCCTCATTGAAAAACCAAGTAATTTTGTCGTTCTGGTTAAAGAACATTTCAGCCAAAAGGGTTAATATTTATTCTGACCGTGGTAACATTGAATTGGTCATCTTCATTGGAACAGATTATTGGTCACGGTGTATAACTGTTAGATGATCTGTACGTTCATGTGAAAAAAGCCCATAATCACAACAAGTTCCTGACACTAATCAGTTTAGTCACCCCAGTAGTGAGGATTTGCAGGTAGATGTCAGATGAGGACTGAATTAGGTTTGACTTTGATATTGCTTTCAGAATTTATTATGTAGACTGAAGCATCGGGAAGAATAATTAGGGCAAGGTACCCCACAAATTTTACCTTTTGTTTTAATAAAAAAGGGTGACATTTAGGAGAATTTTCTTTTTTGTTGCTTATACCTTTATATGGAGTTCTATTCAATAAATAAGAGAGAGTTCGAGCACAAAGAAGGTATAGATTTATCATGGCAATGCTGCTGATGTGGACATGAGACGTTGAAAAAGTTAGTTGATATAATGCTACACAAGAGGGGAAGCAAAATTGGCTGAGTAAAAGGAAACAGTATTGCTTGCTTAATGGATGCTTTTCAAACTGGAGGAAATTTTGCAGTTGTTGTCTCTAGAGGTTGGTGTTGGGACCTTTGATCTTTTTGAAATATATAAATGTAGAACTTGATGTAAAGGGCACAATTTCAAAATTTGCGAATGACATGTAAGTTAAAAGCATTGTAAACTTTGAACAGGATGGTACAGCACTTCAAAAGGATGTAGACAAGCTGGTGAAATGAGCAGCAAATGAAATTCAGTGCAGAGCAGTGTGAAGTGATTCATTTTGGTAAAAAAAAACAGAGACAATTTTAAATAAAGTGACAATTTCAAAGGGGATGCAGGAGCAGGGGAACTTGGGTGTTTGTGTGTATAAGTCAATGAAGGTGGCTGGACAGGATGAGAGGGCAGTTAAAGTATCTGATGCTTCATTAATAGTATCATAGAGCAGAAGAGCAAAGAGGTTAAACCTATGTGAAATACTAATTTGGCTCAACTGGGTATTGTGTCCAAGCTGCCTCCCTTTAGGAAAGATGTGGAGGAACTAGAGACGGTGCAGAAAAGAATTATAAGAATGGTTCCAAAGATGAAGTTGGTCCAGATCTCCTTGGAGAAGAGAAGGTAGAAAGGGGATTTGATGATGGTATTCAATCATGAGTGGTCCAGAGTAGAAACTTTGCCATCTATTGGCAGAAGGATCAAGAACGAGAGGGCATGGATTTAATGTAATCGACAAAAGAGGAATTAGACACATGAAAAGAAACTGTTTCACACACCAAGTGGTGAACATTTGAAAGTGTGAATGTGGTCGAGGCAGATTACGTTGAGGAATTTAGGATCAAATTGGATTATTGTCCATAAAGAACACAGAAGCAGAGTTATTGGGTGAAAACTTGGAAATGGCACAAAGTGCTCATTGGAAAAGCTGATACAGACTCAGCAGGTCAAAAGGCTTTTTTTCAACTGAAACAATTCTGTGGGAAGTTAGAAGTTATTGGTGGTCATCCTAACAGATAAATGGGTCCTTATTATATTTTAAATCATTTTACTTAAATTACTTGTAAAAATAGTAAGTAAAGAAATATCCAAGTAAAGAAGTGTGCATTAAATATTTTCCACTAATAACAGTTGAATGTAATTTCTAGCCCACAGCTTTAAAAACTAAAAATATTATTGACTTGGTTAGCAATATATTTTAATTCTGGTTATTTGTGTGCAAAGTGGCTTCTAAGGCAGGGTTTCCCTAAGCCCTTCAGAACTAAATGAGTGCTCCAAGTCCACAATTGTGTGAAGCCAGAGCCAGACATTGGATCTATCTTCCCAGAGGTGGCCTTTTAATTGGCCATCACCACATTCATCATCCTAGAAAGGATAGTAAGAGGTGCCATCATATGGCTAACAGATCTGGCACCTCTGAAATCCCACAGGGAGAGCGAGGCATATGCTGAAGGGCAGATAGGTAGGAGACCATGAGCATGCCTCAAAATTGAGGCACAAAAATAAATAAATATTTCAGAGACTGCAAGATGGAAGGAGATTGCTGTTCAGTTGGCTTGTTGGATTGCTGGGGAACTCATATCTGCCTACAGCCCCAACTTTGACGATGTAACTTCTTGCTCTGTTGACTCTCCCAGAGACCTGCAGAGACTGCCTGCAAAGAGCTGGCAACCACCCCACATGGTGGACAACCACCACCTCTGGCAATTTGCTGTTGGGCCACAAAACTGCCCATGATGGGGACCATGACTGTTGAATTAGCTTCCCTACTCCCAAGCAGCAGGCAAGCAATTGGCTTTCCAGATAACATCCTGTGAAACTTCTCAGAGTGGGGAAGTGCTGGTAATAAATTCTAACAGAATTCCCACTGTTTTTCTGTCCCTTCCACTTGCTCCAGCAGGGGATCAGGAAAATTTTAGTTTATTTTGTTCGATATCAATTAAACAGTTATACATGGAAGAAAAAGAGTTGCTGTACTATATATTTCATAGATTGTGTAAACAGTGTGTAAACAGGCCCTTTGGCCCATCAAGTCCGCACCAACCCTCGGAGCATCCCACCCAGACCCATCCCCCTATAACCCACCTAATCCACACATCCCTGAACACCTATGGACAATTTAGCATGGCCAAACCACCTAACCTGCACATCTTTGGACTGTGGGAGGAAACCGGAGCATCCGGAGGAAACCCACGCAGACACTGGGAGAATGTACAAACTCCACACAGTCGCCCGAGAGTGGAATTGAACATGGGTTCTTGGCGCTGTGAGGCAGCAGTGCTAACCACTGAGCCACCATGCCGCCCATATCACCAGGTATGAAAAGATATTTGACGAGTTTTAATAACTCAATAATCAAAAGAGAATTTTGTGGCCTGTTGTAGCAAAAGTCAGGTAATCAAACATTTGGCAATGCTCCTTTAAAAATGACAGGTTCATGCTTATGGAAAACTATTGTCAGGATCCTTTTACAGTGTTTTGTGTTATTCACTCATGGGATGTGAGTGTCACTGGCTGGCCAGCGTTTATTGCCTGTCCTATGCTGTTCTTGATGAGCTGCCTTCTTGAGGCACTGGATTCCATATGCTGTAGGTAGATCCACAATACCCTTAGGTAGGGAATTCCAGGATTTTGACCCAGCAACAGGAAAGAATGGCGATATATTTCCAAGTCAGCATGGTGAGTGGGTTGGAGGGGAACTTGCAGGTTGTTGTGATCCTAGTGTCTGCTGCCTTTGTCCTTTTGGATGGAAATGGCCATGTGTTTGGAAGGTGCTGACTAAGGATCTTTGGTGAGTTTTTACAGTGCTTCTTGTTGATAGTACACACTGCTGCTACTGTGTATCATTGATGGAGGGAGTGAATGCTTGTGAATGTGGTGCCAATCGAGCTGGTTGCTTTGTCAAGCTTCTTGAGTGTGTTGGAGGTGCACCCATCCAGACAAGTGAGCAGTATTTCATCACATTCCTCACTGTCTTGCCTTGTTGATGCTAAGCAGGCTTTGTAGAATGAGGAGGTGAGTTATGTGGCAAGGAGTTTCTGGCCGATGGTAATCCCTAGGGTGTTGATAATAGGGTATTAATGATGGTGACACCTTTCAATATCAAGGAGTGGAGGTTAGTTTGTCTCTTATTTGAGATGGTCATTGCCTGGTATTTGTGCAAATGTTACTTACATTTGTCAACCCAAGTCAGGATAATGTCCAGGTTTTGTTGCATTTGGTTGCTTCAGTATCTGAGGAGTCAAGAATGGTGCTGAACATTGTACAGTCATTGGTGAACATACCCACTTATGACTTTATGGTGAACCAAAGGTCATTGATGAAGCAACTGAAGATGGTTGGGGCTTGGACATTACCCAGAGGAACTCCTGCAAAGATGATCGGGAGCTGAAAGCAGTGATCTCTAATAAGCCCCTGATACTCCTTGATTCCAGCTTTGCTAGGGCTCCACAATGCCACACTTGGTCAAATGTAGCCTTGATGTCAAGAGCTGTCACTCTCACACTAGAATTCACCTCTCTTTTTTTCATGTTTGAACTGAGGCTGTAATGAAGTCAGGAGGTCAGTGGCCCTGTTGACAGGGCCTATAGCCTTTGCAGTATCCAGTGCTTCCGACTATTTCTTGAAGTCGCATGGTGTGAATCAAATTGGCTGAAGTTGGTATATGTGATATTGGGACCACCGGAGGAAGCCACGATGGACCATCCACTACACAATTAATGCTGAAGATTGCTTCAAATACTTCAGCCTTATGTTTTGCAGTGACATCTTGGGCTTTTCCATCATTGAGGATGCTGATATTTGTGGAGCCTTCTCCTCCAGTGAGTTGTTTTAATTGTCTACCACCATTCTCGACTGGATGTGACAGAGTTGCAGAGCTTAGATCCCATCCATTGGTTGCAGGATCGCTTAGCTCTGTCTATCACTTACTGTTTATGCTGTTTGGCAGCAAGTAGTTTCACCAGGTTGACACCTCATTTAGGCATGCCTGCTGCTGCTCGTGGCATGCTATCTTGCACTCTCCTTTGAATTAGGATTGATGGTAATGGTTGAATAGGGGATATGCTGGATCATGAGGTTGCTGATCATGCTGGAGTACAAATCTACTGTTGACAGCTGACAGCACCTCACGGATGCCCAGCCTTGAGTTCCTTCATACGTTCAAAATCTGTCACATTTACCACAGTAATAGTGTCACACAACATGATGGAAGTTATTCTCAATGTGGTGGGCCTTCGCTTCCACAAGGACTGTACAGTGGTCACTCTTACCAATACTGTCATGGTCAGATGCATCTGTAGCAGGCAGATTAGTAAGAATGGCGTCAAATATGTTTCTCCCTCTTGTTGGCTCCCTCACCACCTGCTACAGACCCAGCCTAGGAATCCTTATTGAGATATTCAAAATCATCCTAATGTCACCTCCTAATCTTCTCTGCTCTAAGGAGAATAATCCAATCTCTCTAATCTTTCCTTGTATCTAAAATTTGTCATTCCAGGTATCATTCTGGTAAATCTCCTTTGCGCTCTATCCAGGGCTTTAACATCCTTGCTTAAATAAGATGCCCAGAACTGAACGCAATACTACAAATGTGGTTTGACCAATTATTTGGAGGGGATCCTGTAGGCCTTCTGTTTCAACTTACCTGGTCACCTTCAGAGAATCATGCATGTGAACTCTGAGGTCCCTCCGCTCCTGTACTCCCCTCAAAGTTGTTAGTGCTGGTGCAGGTAAGGGAAAAATGGTGTGGTGCTGCAAGGGAGTGAAAAGGCAACACAGAGCTTACAGGGTTACTAGTCCATGGAACGGAGTGAGTGAGAGCATGTGAAGGCAGATGCTGCATGCAATTAATGAAAGACGTAGAGCTTCGCCTTTATGGTAGGCAGGAACAGTAGTAAAAATAGGGTAAGTGAGGGGTAGCAGAGTGACCCCTTAATGCTAGTGGAGTGGAGAAGATCACTGATCTTCTTCCATAAGTCTGCTGGAAATTCCTCCAGACAGCTGAGACCTGCAATGACCCACATGAAACCTTGGACCATGCTGCTAGGGTCTGATAGGATGGCCTCCTCTGTTGGTACAGGAGAATGGGACATTCAAGCTATGCACCACCCTATTTACCAGGACCTTCAATAGCCTGCCCACAAAGCAGAGTGCAAATTTCCTCCTGTCTAATTAGTGCAGGGCAGCTGTGGGCTCACAGTGCTCACCGTGTACACAACAGCCTTTTAAAGATGGAATTGGCAAAAGTGATGGTGGTCTATTTTGAAATATCCTGGCAGTGGCGAGTTCTTCCAAGTATGGTGACTGGTAGAATCCAGCTGGCATCAGACATGAGGAGTACCGTGGGGGTGTGGCAGGTTGTCCATGAAACCAGTTTGGGATGGTGGTGTGAGAAAACTCACTGAGCCTTACAGAGAGCATCTGCGCTCTGTACACGAGAAACGACAATACTTTCTGGTCGCCAACCATTTTAACTCATTTCCCCCCCACTCCACCCCACGGATGACATGTCCATCCTGAGCCTCCACAATGACGCCACCTGCAAACTGAAGGAGCAGCACCTCATATTCTGCCTTGGGAGCCTACAGCCCAATAGCCTAAACATGGAATTCACCAGTTTTAAAATCTCCCCACCTCCGGCCTCGTCCCATGTCTAACCCTCCTCCTCATCCCTGCCTCCTTGACCTGACACAACCTGTCGATCTTCTCTCCCACCTATCCACCCCACCCATCCCACTGACCAATCCCCACCACTCCCTACCTGCACTCACCTATCACCATCCCACTTACCTTCCCCAGCAACCCCCCTCCTCTCTGTCTTTGTTTCCCAGCTCCCTTTCCTCCTCCCCATTTCTGAAGAAGGATCCTGACCTGAAACATCAACTTTCCTGCTCCTCTGATGCTGTCTGGCCTGCTGTGTTCCTCCAGCTCCACACTGTGGTGTCACTAAGCCTTGTGTAGCCTGTCCATGAAATGCAACAAAACTCATATATTGCCAACATGTGACAAGATTCAGAATTTAAAGTGTTTAAGGAAGCCTGTGAACTGATCTAGCTGTCCCTGAGGCACTGTAGTTCCTGATTCCCACCCTATTTATGTAAATTTACATTAACTCCAGAATTAGGTTCATGAAATAAACATAGGCAGGGATGAGCAGGAATCTCTTTCTCCCCTTCTTCTCAACAAGAATACCAAGATTCTAAATAAAATCAAACTAATACTGGTTCTGGAAACAGTCAGCAGATCTGGCAGCACCTGTGTAAAGTCAGTATCCTGAGTCGAACATGACTGTGCTGAAGATGTGACGTATTTGACTCAACTCTCCACTGATGCTGCCAAACTTGCTGACTATTTCCAGCAGTATCTCTTTTTACTTTATGTAAGAACATCTTGGTTACTGATAATATATAAGATTTCCAATAGGTGCACCTACTTCATCAATTACATTCATTTCTTTTTCTTTTGCAGTTGGCTATACTACAGACGACCTTCGATTCATCTGGCAATCTAAAGACCCTGTTCAGATGGAGCAAATTGCATTGCCACAGTTTGATATTAAGCAAGAAGATATTGAGTATGGAAACTGCACAAAGTATTATAAGGGCACTGGTGAGAATTATTCACATTAGAATTACATGCTACATTTCATACACTCTTGAAGATATAGGCTTTGCATAGAGACTATGTTACTCAAGTCTCTGTTTTGAGGCGCAGTGTGGTTTCAGCATGTTACATAGAATATTTTCCAATCTGAGCAACTGAAGTTAAAATCCACTTGCAACAGTAGAGAAACATGCTGTCAGTTTAAACATTTTTAGATTGTTAAAAAGAAATATATGAGCACATCCAGACTGAGCTGGAACAGGCGTTCTTTATGATCAAATTTCAGCTTGTTTTGATGTTCAATTTTCCTCAGACAGTCCAAATATACATAAAAGGTCTCATCAAAGGCCTGAATTCATCTTGTGTAAATACTTGCTGGGAAACCTGTTTGCATCCAATTCCTTTGCCTAATATTTTACTTGAGACATTAAAGTAAACAGGTTAATGGCTCCATTAAAATAGTAGCCTAGGGAATTGTATAAACATCTGCCAAGCACTTGTATGATAATAGTTGCGCATCATTTCAAAGCTGCAGCAATTTTAGGGAGAGATTCTTTCCCCGAACTAAACTGGCTAAAGATGAAATGAATGCCTATTTTGTCCTTGTCAAGAAGTGTAAGGAATTTTTTTTCACATGCTTTTTCACATTTTGTCACTGTACCCTCCCAGCTCCAATGTCCATCTGGGTAGGATTTTCTGGAGCATACTGTTCAAGCCGTGGTAGCCAATACAGGCTCCAAAAACTTTGATTCTTTAGAAACCTTCAATATTTAGATGATTGACAAAATACAAATGAGGAAGTGTTTACTGCAGTCAATAAATTCCTCTATAAAACCACTGGGACCTTTTATTCTAATTTTCCAAAACGCTACTAGAAATATAACTACCTTTTCTTCAGAGGAGTTCAGAAGTGTGGTATTCTTGCTGCATCTTTATGTGCTTCAGCTCAGAAATATTTTAGGGAATTTAAACTAATAGCAGAAAGTGATTAGTGGCATATAATAAGCTCAGTGTTACATTGAACTAAAGTGATTCTACATTTTACGTGCTTACTACAAAGACAAGTACTGATGAGAAATGTATATTGTTTAAACTGTAAGATTGTGACTTCACTCTTTTTCCACCCCTTGTCTGACCATAACAGAAGTGTATTTTTTCAAAAAAGGATGTATTTGCCAATTCAGTAAGTCTTTAACTGTTTATCTGCTGTGACTATAGAAGAATCAGATTTTGTTGAGGTTTTAAAAAGGATAATATTTAACATTGAGGGATGAACTGATTCCTTTTCCTGTCCCATTCCTCCACAACAAAGTCTGAGTTTACAAAGGGAGATGAAATATTACTATCAGACTGTGTATATATAGCTCATTACTAGAAGCAGGTCAGGCAAGTTCCTTAAGTAACAAATAAAGATCTAGATTATTGCAACCAAAACACACTCAATCAAAGATGTAAAGATTATTAACAAAAAGTTTAAACAGTATAAATACATATACATAAATCCACCCATCTTGAAATATAATGTGCACACATACAAGAAAAAAATCCCAATCTGAGAAAACAAAATGGTGCAGTGTTACAATAACTGCGCTGGGGCCAAGTAACAGTTAAATTCAGAAAAGACAAACTATTCACAGTGTCCCAAATGATGGTTTGCATCTGAAGTCACTTTCCACACAACCTGTTAATATTGGGATTTCCATTTTAGTATTAATTAAATGAGCAGTAAGTGCAGTTGGCTAGCAGCAGAGGAACAGATTAGTTATAGTGCCAAGTTATTCATTTTATGTGGCATTTTTGAAACAATGTCATTTATGTAGACTAACAAGGGTCTTAGCACTAATCCCAGGGTTATTGAACTCCATACCTTCCTCATGGAAAGGTCTTCTGAGGAGAAGACTTGGCTGCGAAAGGCAATGTCTCATAACTGTTTGGACGAATATTATGTATTTTGAACAATTGTGGTAGGAATATTAATAGGAGAGCTAACCTGCTGTTCTGACTTCACAACATGCAATATTATGAAGGATGATCAGTTAGTTATTTAGTTTTCATATTTCCAAATGATATTGCCGTAGACATTTTCAATGTTGTTATGGACAGCTACCTACCATTTTATTGGCTGTAAATGCTTATGGGTTTGATTAATTTAGTTGGCTGGAGTGGTGGGTAGAAGTGCAGATGGACACCAACAGCATGGGTTCAATTCCGCATCAGCTGAGGTTACCACGGAAGTCCCATCTTCTTCTCAATCTTGCCTCTTATCTGAGGAAAGGTAACCCTGAAGTTAAACTCCCCATGTGTTATGTCTCTCTAGTGAGAGAGCAGCGCTATAGTCCTCTGGGATTATGGTGACTTTACTTTCTTATATGCTTATGGTGACAAAATAAGTGCCAGAATCATCATAATTCAGAGTCACAGAATGGTTGCAGAACCAAAATAGGCCATTCAGCCCTATGTGCCTCTTGTAGCCCTCTGAAGGAGCAAATAATTAAGTGCCACTTCTCTGCCTCTCCTCTGATTTTTTATTTTTCTTTTCAAATCCCCAATAACATTATCTATACCATGCTCTGGAACTGAGATTCTAATCATTCACTGCACGATAAGGTTGCTCCTCACGTTTTTTTTGCCAGTGAACTTGAATCTGTGCTGCAGCGGTCAGACAGCATCCAAGGAGCAGGTAAATCAACATTTTTGGTTTGAAACCCTTCAGGGTTGATGAAGGGTTTTGGCCTGAAACATTGATTTACCTGCTCCTCAGATGCTGTCTGACCTGCTGTACTTTTCCAGACTCACATCTATAGACGCTGGCTTCCAGCATCTGCAGTCCTTATTGTCTCCAAGTCTTTGAATCTGTACCATCTGTTCTTGAACCTTCCTGAAATAGTAACAGTTTTCTACTTCCCTGGAACAATTCTTGTGAATCTTTTCTACTTTTGTTTTAAATACTTCACACCTTTGCTAAAGAGTGGGGCCCAGAGTTGAGCACAATGTGTTATTGAGGCTGAACCAGTCCTTTATACAGGTCCGGAATAATTACAAGACAGAGTGAAAAAGCTAATAACACACCAACAGTCAAGACTAAATGTTACAAAGATGATAAGACAAGGTCTTTATATCTGAATGAGAGTGGAAGTCACAACAAAGTAAACAAATGGATAGACTGCATTAGAATAAATAAATATGATCTGAGTCCCATATGGAAGTGGGTCTGCAGAATAATAAGGATTGTGTCCTGAATGGGCCACTTAAGCTCATTGATAGTTGGAGGATTACCAAAGAAATCCTTCAGAGGGTGTTTTTGGGATAGCTTGGAAGGTGTTCTCCAATACTGGACTCCTAGTGGAGGTAGAATGGGAGGGTAAAGGTTGAGAATGACTTCAAGGAATGCTATAGAGTTGGAAAATGTTCCAGCTGCACCACAGGCTCCAGCTTAAGATGTTTTTTTTTAAAATCTTGCCTTGGTGCTGCATGTAAAGTAAAATAAACACTAAACAGAACAACATACTGGAGTTGTTCCACTCAGTACTGAATGTTCTCAAAGAAAAGACTCTTTAACAGGCATTAACACATGTAAGGGGTCTAATTTATCTTAGAAGCCACAGCCGAGGTCTGAAAATTAGCTGAGGCTGATATAATGCTTATATTTGAGGTGTTCTTGGGGTAAAGGATCACTAGCCAAATTTTACATCCTTTCTCTCAGTTTTCTGCGCAGGAAAAGGCACAATTGAAGTCTAATTTGTAACCTTCGTTTTTTTAGCTATTGCAACAAAATATAACCTTTTCTAGCTATTGAATCAGAGATAGTAGGAACTGCAGATGCTGGAGAATCCGAGACAACAAGGTGTAGAGCTGGATGAACACAGCAGGCCAAGCAGCATCATAGGAGCAGAAAGGCTGACGTTTCGGGCCTAGACCCTTCATCAGAAAAGGGGGAGGGGAAGGGGGTTTTGAAATAAATAGGGAGAGAGTGGGAGGCGGATAGAAGAGGGTTAGAGGAGAGGATAGGTGGAGAGGAAACAAACAGGTCGAAGAGGCGGGGATGGAGCCAGTAAAGGTGAGTGTAGGTAGGGAGTTAGGAAGGGGATAGGTCAGTCCAGGGAGGACGGACAGGTCAAGGGGGCGGGATGAGGTTGGTCGGTAGGAGATGGAGGTGCGGCTTGAGGTGGGAGGAGGGGATATTTCACAAGTTTCAAAATCTCCCCTCCCCCTACCGCATCTCAAAACCAGTCCAGCTCGTCCCTGCCTCCCTAACCTGTTCTTCCTCCCACCTATCCCCTCCTCCCACCTCAAGCCGCACCTCCATCTCCTACCGACCAACCTCATCCCGCCCCCTTGACCTGTCCGTCCTCCCTGGACTGACCTATCCCCTTCCTAACTCCCTACCTACACTCACCTTTACTGGCTCCATCCCCGCCTCTTCGACCTGTTTGTTTCCTCTCCTCTATCCCTCTTCTATCCGCCTCCCACTCTCTCCCTATTTATTTCAAAACCCCCTTCCCCTCCCCCTTTTCTGATGAAGGGTCTAGGCCCGAAACGTCAGCCTTTCTGCTCCTATGATGCTGCTTGGCCTGCTGTGTTCATCCAGCCCTGCACCTTGTTGTCTCTTTTCTAGCTATTGTTGGATCACTTTAACTACCGGTCAATTTAACTAACAGAGATGCATATCAGTATTGTTATCATGCTATAGTGTCATAGAATGGAACGATAAAGGACATTAGCAGATCCACAATGCCCATGGTACTGTGATGGTTCTTTGAAAGAGCCATTTCATCAATTCCAAAGAGATGAAAAATTCTTGGTTCTTATGTTACAGTAAACCATAATCACAATGTTTACGAAGAATGTAACCATCATTGAGATATTTAAATATTATTAAAAACATTGATTAGCTTGTTAAAAAAGTTGAAGTATAAAAATGAGATCAATTGAATTATGCTGTTAGCTTTTGAAATTCATTCTCTCAATGTACCAGCTGCAATATTGCCATTAAATGTTTTATTTTTTCTGCAGGAAAGATTCTATCACTTAACTTACTTCCTTTTTATTAAAGGATATTACACCTGTGTGGAAGTGATATTTACATTAAGAAGACAAGTTGGATATTACATGATGGGAGTTTATGCTCCAACTCTTCTGATAGTTGTCCTATCATGGCTGTCATTTTGGATAAACCCTGATGCAAGTGCTGCAAGAGTACCTTTAGGTAAATTGAATTAGCACTGATAATCAAATAAATGATCTATTGCTACAGAAAATAATTCTTCATTTCCACAAATGTTACTGACCAATGTAACATTGTACATTTAATCATAAAACGTAATTCATAATGGGCATTTGATAGGTTAGATGTTTCAAAAAAGTGAAATCAGAACAGTATGCAATTCTGTGAACTGTTTACTATTTTTAAAAAAACAAACTAATTGCATAAGAGTTGTATATTCAAACTCAGCTGACTTTTGCTATGATTGAAAAATTCCAAATTAAATGCTGAATTACATTAAAATGTCCTTTATTCTCCAGCTCTGAGTCCCAGTGATTGCATTTTCATGGACAGTGATCGTTGGAGGATTTAGAAAATTTGAATAGAAAGATAGTGGCATTTTAGCAGCATCTGTGCTTGAATACATGAAATAGACTCTGCCTTTTCTGTGGTCATTAAGTGGTTATTTAAAGAACTAACCATGTGATCTTTGCTGATGTGTAATTTTCAGACAATATACAGGTAGTAATTGATTATTACTTACAAGAAAAACGTAAGGGGACAGTGAATCTATGTATTAAATATATATATTTATTTATTTTCCACTGTTTTTACCTTTTTGCCTTATAAGATAATGAATTATGTTGGTTTATAGCTTCATATAGAGCAATGTTTTCCATCTATGTGGTGGACAATAGGCTTTAGCTATTTATTTATGTGTTTATGTAGGGGACGATGTTGGTGAGGATAACCAGTGTAACCATCCTTAGAATCCAATGAGAGTAAGTTCCCTTGCTGTTGATTGAATCAGAAGAGAAAGGGAACTAAAGAAAGATAGAGAAGAAGATGCTAGAGATTGTGGTTTTGTCCAGTAAGTAATTTCCAGATAGAGAAGCCGATTTCTGAGCATTTGATAATTGGAGGAATGGACAGCATTCTCTACAGTTGCGACTGAAAGTTTATAAGATGTTGTTTACTTTGTATACAAATAAAGGATAGATTTGTGTAACTGGAGATGGCTTTGAAATGTAGTAAGGAAGATTCCATTTTTGGAACCTATGTTAAGACAATAACAGAAGCAATGAAGAAAAGAGGGCCTATTACAATGTCATAAGAAGTTATAAACTAAAAAAGAAAACAGGACCTAACTGTTCTAAATATCATGCCAAGAGAAGAATATGGCATAATTCTTGGCAACCAGAAATGTTTACTAATTTATGTATATTGTATACAGAGCAGGGAGATTATGCTATTGATAGCTGTTGCCTTTTATTACACTTTTCCCCAAATACTTATCCTGTTCCTAAGTGTTTTGCCTTTCTAATTATTAATATGTTTACATTTTATATCCTTAATGTGATAAGTGCTGCCCGTGCTGATGGGATAACCCAGTTGTTGTGTCTACCCTAGTTGGTATTTGGCCAAATCTGGCTGGATTTCTTCCTGTCTAGTATGAAGTGACTATTATTTCACATGTTTGGTTAGAAGTGGTTCTTCTTTCAACACTGCTAGGGCTGCAATGTATTCCACTTTCTTGTCAGAATGAATCTGTAGAGCACCCACTGTTGTGGGATCCTATGGTGCCATTAGGGATGCTTCTGTTACATCCTCTGCTTGTGAACTGATGGATGAACTCGCATTGTCCTCTTGAGTCTCTGGATTGGAGTCAGAAATTGCCATCATCCCAGTTTGTTTTTCAGTTTCACTGGGCTCTGGCACCCCTAGGACTTGCATACTCAGGTCACTATCTGGAATGGAGTTGAATGCTCTTCCTGGAGGTTCCTCATTGCTTGTGGCTCCATAGGCAAGCTCATTTTTCGTGGGAATATTCTTGATAATTCAGGATGTCAAAGAACCTTGTGACTGCATTGGGTTGTGCCATCCCTGTAGTATCTTGGCTGCTAATCATCTTTTTCTCGTGGAAGAACTATACAAGTCCAGAGTTGGTCACATGGTTTATGGTATATTGGCAGAAACTCTCTTCTGTCTCTTGGAAGAGGAGCACGAGGTTCTAGTCTCCTGTTATGGCTGGCTGCTGTACATAGTGCTGACCTGGTTTATGTTTTTATCTACCAGTTCCCAGAACAGGTATCATATGATCTGGGTCACCACCTCACGTCTACTGGTGTGGAACATCATTCGCAGAGACTGCCAGAAAGTGGTCTGAATCTGGTAGGATTTTCTGTACCACCAGGGAGTATTGAAGTTGTATTGCTGTGCAACTTCCTTGCTTCATAAACTTTGATTCAGAAGGACGTAGAAAGTTTGTGAAATTTCTTGTACTTTAAAGAAGTTTTGCAGTCTGCAACCACAGACTCTCACTGAGGCAGCTTCTGGGTTATAGGCCTAAACTGTGGAAGTCTGGAAGAGCCCTGCTGTCAGCAAATACATTGCATCTGACAGGAATAAAAACATAAATTGCTAGAAAATCTCAGCAGGTCTGGCAGCATCTCTGAAGAGAAATCAGTTAACGTTTCAGATCCGGTGACCCTTCCTCAGAACATTAACGCTGAACTTTTCCAGCAATTTCTGCTTTTGTTTCTGATTTACAGCATCCACAGTTCTTTTGTGTTTTATCTAGCATCTGACAGCTTTTCCTGCATCAAGTTTAATCATGCTTTGTGTCCATTAACAAGGAGTTCCACATTATTGAAATCCTATTATCTAGGGTACTTCTCCTGGGATCTTCAAGTAGCTGAAAATCTTCCACTTCCTATATGTTAACATTGTCATAAGACATAGGAGCAGAAATTAGGCCATTCAGCCCATTGAGTCTGCTTTGCTATTCAATCATGGCTGATAAGTTCCTCAACCCCATTGTCCTGCTTTGTCCCTATAAACCCTTGATCCCCTTGATAATCAAGAACCTACCTATCTCAGTCTTAAATGTACTCAATGACCTGGCCTCCACAGCTTTCTGTGGCAGTGAATTCCATAGATTCACCAGTCATTGGCTGAATTCCAGAGGGGAGGTGAGTGTAATAGTCCTTGACATCAAGGGCTGCAATTGGCCAAAGGTGACATCAAGGAGCCCTAGCAAAACTGGAGTCAGTGGGAGTCCGACACAAGCAGCACAAAGGTAGATGAATGTGGTTGTTGAGGGTCCATTATCTCAGTTCCAGAATATCACTGCAGGAATTCCTGAGGGTAATGTCCTAGGCCCAACTATTTTTAGCTGCTTTGTCTTCCCTCCATCATAAGGACAGAAGTGGGGATGTTCGCTGATGATTGCACAATATTCAACACCGTTCACAATTCCTCAAACACTCAAGTAGTCCATGACCAACTGCAACAAGATCTGTGGAATGTCCAGGCGTGGGATGAAAAGTGGCAAATAACATTCTTACCACACAAATGCCATGTAATTACCATCTCCAACAAAAGACATTCTAACCATTGTCGCTTGACACTCCGATGGCATTGTGGTTGCTTAATCCCCAAAATAAACACCTTCGGGGTTACCATTGATAAGGAACTGGAATAGCCATATAAATACTGTGGCTACAAGAGACAATCTGAGGCTAGGAATACTGCATCAACTAACTCACCGGTTCTCCAAAGCATGTCTACCTTCTACAAGACACAAATGAGTGTGCAGTTTAGTACTTCCCTATTTGCTGGATCTGCACTCATCCAAGCAACACTGGAGAAGCTTGACACCATCCAGAACAAAGCAGCCTGCTTGATTGGTATCACATCACAAACATCCATTCCGTCCACCATCAACACTCAGTAGCAATAATCTGAACCAAGGTATGGTACAGAAAATCACCAAACTGCTTAGACAGCACCTTCCAAACCCATAACCACTTTTGTCTTGAAAGACAAGGGGAGGAGATACATGGGAACACCACTACCTGCAAGTTTCCTTCCAAACCTTTGTCAATCCTGATGTGATAATATATCACCATTTCTTCACTGTCACTGGGTCAAAATCTTAGAACTCCCAATGGCATTGTGGGTCTACCTACAGCACATGGATTGCAGCAGTTCAAGAAGGAAGCTGTCCACCACTTTCTCAAGGGCAACTTGGGATGAACCATAAATACTGGCTGGGCCAGCAACACCCTGATTCCATGAATGAATGAAAAGATCATCTCTCTAATCCTGGTGGTGACCTGCATCTTGGAGCTGGAAATTCTTGCTCAGACACTGCCCTGAAAAAGCTTTTTCCACTGCAAGCAGAGAATCCACATTGATAATGGGGCATACTTTGTGCTTGTGGACTTTTTTGGCTTACATCTGGAATAAGGTAAGTTGGTAGTTGCTTGTTGACTAGTACCTTCTACTGCTCTCATCAATGTGAGAATATCTATTCCCAGCTGTACCCCCAGAGTTCCTGCACACCCAAAAATGTGTGGGGATCATTAAGCCATCGATCTCTAATAATTGCTTATAGCTGTTATATGCTTTTGTTTTCTTCCCTCCCACCCCTTGTATCCAAACTTTATATTTAGTGAATGGCAGTTCTAAATCTGTAACTGACACCAACACTCCTGTGTCTATTAATGCTTTGCACTACTAGCACCATATTGATGTTGTTACCCATAGCTTGGTGTCGGTGTCCTTGGCTTTTGGATAACTCTTTGATAATAATCAGCAGTTGTTGATTCATCATATTTCTAAGGTTCATAGTAATCTTATCTCCTACATTTCACTGTCAGGGCCCTGTCCTTCCTTTCCAACTCTTTATCCCAGCAGTCCTCAAACATGCTCTGGATAATTACACTTAGTACATCTCTTCCTGAAGCCATGCAAAGGGGCTCTACCTTCAGCATGGTGGTGTCTTGGTCTACTGTAATTATGACGTGACTATTCCTTATCATTAATTGCAGAAATTATTCATTCAACCTTAATAGACACACAATGGCTCAGTGGTTAGCACTGCTGCCTCACTGTGCCAGGCTTCAGTTCCAGCTTCAGGCGACTGTCTGTGTGGAGTTTGCACATTCTCCTTGTGTCTCTGTGGGTTTCCTATTGGTGCTTTGGTTTCTTCCCACAGT